AAAAAAAAAAAAAAGAAAAAGAAATGAAAGCAGTAACCTAGAAAAGATATCAGTATTTTTCTTACTCTTATGACACATTGTCTTCCTGTGGGAAAATACTTCTTCATTAGGGGCCATAGCTGCCTCACTGTTTTTCTAAACAGAACATGTCCTTTTGGATCAAAAGGAGCAGCTCTACTTTTATTTCAAGATGAGCTTTTGAGAGATACTCCCAAAACAGGAATAACTTTCTGAGAAGCCAGTCATAAAATAACTACATTCTACCCACAATCATGACAGACACAAACAGTGGACAGCTTACCTTGATGGTCCTATCCAAAGAAGCACTGGCAAACTGATTGTTATCTTTGGGGTTAATCACAATCTGCATAACATAATGGGTGTGTCCTTCAAACACTTGTGAGCAAGACCATTTTTTATCCCAGTCCCATAGCTTAATAAGCATGTCATCTAGGCCAAAAGAAAGTTTCAAGTTAGTTGCAATTTCTTTATTTCTTTCATTTCAGAACTAAGACACAGAGCTTTTGTGCCTTTTAAGGCAAAAGGTCTAACAACACAAATCATACATTCCAAGACTTACAGAAACAGAATGAGAACTGAATAGATTTTTCCAAATTCTTATTTATTTTAAGAATAAAGTTAATGCTCTACAGTTGAGTGAAGATAAATAAAATAGAGAAATTATAAACTAATAGCAACAAAAATCTTGTGACAAATTAAAGAAAAACTTAGTAAGATTTAAAGAGTGACAAAAGGTCAACACAGGTTTCATTAGACACTAAGTATAACTGAATAATGATGGCAATGACTAGAGAATAATCATTTTCTGACACAAGCTTTTCTGAAACAAGACTGGTTAAAACAAGTTTTGAGTTACTTCACAATTTTTAATTTAAAAATGCTTTAAATAACTATTACCAATTCAGTATTACTTGTTTTAATTGCCCTCCAAAAGGTCCACTGTTTTAAACATAGGGGCAAACTAGTCAGAATACAAAGATAAAACTATCATATGGCAATCTGCCAAAAATTCACTCATCAGTATGTAAATGAGCTTTCTGTTCAGCAGATGTTTAAGCATTTAGACCTTCAGGTCCTTCCTGACAAGAGTCTGAGCAACTGCTACACAAATCCTAGGTACCGTTGATATTTCATTAAACTACAAAAGCAAGCAGCATCGATGTAGCATTTCAATGGATTTAAACAGTCTAAAGACTATCTGGAATTAGAACACTACTTATAATAGCAATAAAAGAATAGCATGAGTATCAATAAAAGAATTGTATGAGTATGAATTACCCAAAGAGACACACATGACACAAAGGAGTCATCTCTTACCACTGCTAGTTAGGATGAAAGGCTGGGTTGGGTGAACAGCAATGCAGCGAATGTAGTCTGAGTGAGCTTCAAACATGTGAACCCTCTCCAGGGTATTGTAATTAAACACTCTCATCTGCATGTCATCCTAGAAAATGACATTTCAAAGCCATCATCATTGTTAGGAAGTAAAAGGCATGAAAAACTATATTACAGACTTGAGAAATGAAGTCCATGCTTCAAAATATTGGGGGGAGGGGTATGGAATTAGGAATTAAAAGTCGGTAACTCATTTGCATAATTACCAATCAATTCAGAAAATGGGATTACAGATTCATGTAATTACTTACTGCTCCTGTCACAACCCAATTCTTCCTTGCAACAAACTTTGCAGCTCGAACAGGTAGGTCACACACTTCAAATGTCTTCACCAGTGTCTTAAAATTTAATAAGAATATACATTTTGAATTATGAGAAAATAACTCAAAAATCTATTCTACTATGTTTAAAACATTCAATTATTTAGATCTCACTGAATTTAAAAATATTCTCAGACTAAAATATGAAAACTCAATATTCAAACAAAATATATGTATCAGTAGTGGTAGAAACACATGAAAGAGCAGAGATGAACGCAACTTTTGGCTTCCCACTTTGATGACTGTTCTTTAAATACTGAAAATCAAACTATCATTTTACAATCTCTCTTTTTGGACCAGACAGCAGTGACGAACTAGAGAACATAAGCACAATCTTACTGATTGATTAACTATGTGCATTTTTCCCTTTAAAAAAAACAAAAAGAACAGCGACTGGTTCACAATTGTTGAGCCTGCTCTTGCTTCTCAAGTCAGACTTCAAAGACTCTTCAGAAAAAGACTGAATTAGTGGGGACATCAGTTCCATGCTATATAACCAGATGAATAGGACCTGAACACTGGCAGCAAGCGTCAGAAAGAACATGCAATCTAATGGTAGAAAGATGCATAAAAGCTCATGCAGAACCTACAAACCCTGGGATCTGCTGAGAAGGCAGGTACAGAACAAGTAGCCAAGGTCTGGCACCATGTTAAGTGCCACAGTGTGACTATGACACATGAAATAATTTCCTTCCCTAAGAGCTAATCAGGAGCTCTGGTAGCATAGTGGCAAAGACACTTGCCTGCTAACCAGACAGCTGGCGGTTCAAACCCACCAGCCACTCCTCGGAAGGAAGGTTGGGCAATCCTACTTCCGTAGTGATACTGCCTCGGAAACCCAAGGAGGGGTCGCTATGAGTCGGGGCTGACTCGACGGCACATAACAACAACAACAACAAGAGCTAATCAATCTAAAAAGCAGAAAAAAGCTACATACATACAATATGTACCAACATCCAATATAAGTTAAGAAAATATTAACAAATACTTATATAGTACTTTAAGGTCTCATGTACAATTTCATCTAACTTAATGCAATCCTTTCAATAACCCTGTGATATAGGGAAAACAAACATTTTATCTTTTATCTTTATTTAAAATAAGTAATCTGAGGCTCAGTGTACTTAAAAGGTAATTTAATTAACAAGTTGGCTTCAAATCCTAAAATACTTTTTTTTTGCTATTGCACCCACCAAACAAAATATATTATCCCTAATTTGAAATTCAATTATTTTGAATTTACTTCCAATACCCTCCCCTTTTTTTTCACCTTGCTGAAGAATTTTGCTCTCAATATACACGAATACAAAGGTATTTGACTGTGTGCGTCGTAACAAATTATGGATAACATTGTGAATAACAGGAATTCCAGAACACTTAATTGTGCTCATGAACAACCTGTACATAGAACAAGAGGCAGTCTTTCAAACAGAGCAAGTGGATACTGAATGGTTTAAAAGCAGGAAAGGTGTGTTGTTAGTATCCTTTCATTATACTTATATAAAAGTATGTAAGTAGAGCTGCTAGTGATAGCGCCTTGGAAATCCAAGGAGGGGTCGCTATGGAGTCAGGTACAACTTGATGGCACATAACAACAACAACAACATTCAATCTGCATACTAAGCAAATAATCTGAGAAGCTGGACTATATGAAGAAGAATGCGGCATCAGGACTGGAGGAAGAATCATTAACAACCTGTGATATGCAGATGACACAAACCCTGCTTTGTGGAAAGTGAAGGTGACTTGAATCACTAATTGATGAAGATCAAAGACTACAGTCTGCAGTATGGATTACACTTCAACATAAAGAAAATGAAAATCCTCACAACTGGATCAATAAGCAGCATCATGATAAACCGAAAAGGCTGAAAATGCCAACAATTTCATTTTACTTGGATCCATAATCATTGCCCATGGAAGCAGAAGTTAAGAAATCAAATGACATACTGCATGGGGCAAATATGCTGCAAAGGATCTCTTTAAAGTCACTTTGTTAAGTTCTGCCTGACCCAAGCCATGGTCTTTTCAATAGCCTCATATGCATGTGAAAGCTGGACAATGAATAAGGAAGACAGCAGCAGAACTGATGCATTTGAATTGTGGTTGGTGAAGAATACTGAAAATACCATGGACTGCCAGAAGAATGAACAAATCTGTCTTGGAAGAAGTACAACCGGAATGGTCCTTGGAAGTGAGAATAGCTAGACTTTATCTCATGTACTTTCGTCATGTTGTTAGAACGGACCAGTTCCTGGAGAAGGTGATCATGCTTGGTAAAGCAGAGGAATGACAAAAAAGAGGAAAACCCTCAATGAGATGGACTGACACAGTGGCTGTGACGATGGGCTCAAGATTAGCACACATTGTGAGGATGGCACAGGACCAGGCAGTGTTTCATTCTGCTGTACACAGGATCACCGTGAGGTGGAGCCGACTCAACAGCATCTAACAACAATAAGTGAATGCCAAGTAACTCCTGCTGGGGACAATTCAAAAAACAACAAACTCAACTCACTGCCATCAAGTCATAGCAACCCCTCCTTGAGTTTCTGAGGTGGTATCACTATAGAAGTAGATTGACTAACCTTCCTTCTGAGGAGTGGCTGGTGGGTTTGAACCGCCAGCCTTCTGGTTAGCAGTCAAATGTCTTAGGCACTACGCCACCAGAGCTCCCCTGGGGACAACTGTTGTTGTTATGTGCCGTTGAATCGGACCCAACTAATAGCGACCCCTACTTGGGTTTCCGAGGTGGTATCACTACAGAAGTAGATTGCCCAACCTTCCTTCTGAGGAGTAAGTAGCTAGTGGGTTTGAACTGCCAGCCTTCTGGTTGGGGGGAGCGGGGAGAGGGAAGCAAAGATAGATCAATCATTCAACAAAGATGTATTGAATATCTACTACAAGCCTGACACTGTGCCAGGTACTGTGCTATGTTCTGGAGCAACGTTGTTATTATGTGCTGTCGAGTCGGACCTGATTCAAAGCGACCCCTCCTTGGGTTTCCGAGGCAGTATCACTATGGAAGTAGATTGCCCCATCTTCCTTCCAAGGAGTGGCTGGTGGGTTTGAACCACCAGCCTTCTGGTTAGCGGTCAAGTGCTTCAGGCACTACACTAGCAGAACTCCCTCTGGAGCAATAGTAGGGAATAAAACTAATATAATCTCTGCCCTCACAGATCCTTTAGTCTCCAAGGAAAGAGGGAAATTAAACAAATAACCAAATGAAATGAATTATGAGAAGGGAAACAAATGTAAAGATAGAGGGCAAAGAGAATACAAAGGGAAAAGGCAGATAAGCAAAGAGGATGACCCAGATGAAACAAAGATATAGTACGATGAAGCCTAGGGAAATCCAAAGGGAAATACACCTAGGCTTTAGAACATACCACACGGAAATGACAGAGCTGACAGATGGCTAAATGGAGTGGATGGAGACTCTGGGAAGAATGGGTATAAGACGGGAAGAGCATCAATATATCTGAAGGTATAAAATTAGAAAGGGTCTATACATTTGGATGGAGAAACAGACCAAAAACAAATACCTATCAGCATGCATTTTATCTGCATCAAGGCAAAAAGGAATTCACAAATTATAAATCTGAAATTGTAGAAGACAGTAATCTTGAAAAGTTTTCAATGGTAAATGGAATGCTTATTATTCATCAGTTCCACAAATAATATTCAGCACTCAGTGTCAGGTACTATTACAAACACTGGGGATCTAGTGGTGAATGAAAAAATAATATGTATGTATAAAATGTCATGGATGAGTCTTAATTTAGTGCAGTCCTTACTGTTCCATTTTAGTGAGTATATGAATGTAAGGGTGCTTTTAGGTTTATCATACTCCTGACCTTCATTCCTAATCCTATTTTCCCACCTTAACTTTCTCAAATGTGAATTTTAGCTGGATTTAAAGAATGTAATCCTGGATGCTGAGGATAATTACTATATAAGTAGATGACTAACTACATGGTGTACCAAACCAAACCCAAACCCACTGCCATCGAGTCGATTCTGATTTCAAGTGACCCTACAGGAAAGGGCAGAACTGCCCCAAATGGCTTCCAAAGTCATAAATCTTTATGAAAGAAGACTGCCACATCTTTCTGCCACAGAGCAGCTGGTGGGCCCAAACTGTCTAGCTTTTGGTTAGCAGCTGAGTGCTTTAACCACTGCACCACCAGAGCTCTTCTGTATAGTATAGTATTGACTGGATGTTCTGTAGTTTGAAATAAGAAGATTAAGGATAGTCAATAAAGGCTATGGAGAGTAAGAAATAAACTAATTTGAAGGCTATATTATTTACTCAGGTGAAAGAGAATGAGATAAGATTTAAAGCAGATAATTTTTAAGACAGATACTCCCAAGTATATGATCAAAAGCTGACCACAGGTATTTCTGATATAACCTAATCTGGATGGCTGAATGAAATTTATCCACATAACAGTATGTAGAGCATTTGGCAAAATAATATAAAATTAAAATATTTTTAAGATTGCTAGATTATTCCCTAAATGGAAAATTAATTATTAAATATTTTATCTAGAGCAAGTGCTCCTCTAGCCTGTTTCCTCAATTTCAGAAAGAGCTAATACGACCTACTTCAGAGTTGCTATGATATCTGAATACTGTATGCAAAGTGCTCATAAGTTTCTCCCAAAAGCTGTATGTTCATTCATGTTTTCTTTATTTAAAATATTTTACACCAATTTGAGAAAGCAGTTTGTGTAGTTACTGGGTCTGATATGCTATCTCTTGTCTTTTATTATAAACAATCTAACACAGGATTTTATTTCTAATAGTCCTTAAAAGTTCCCACCTGTGTTTCATGATTCCAAACGCACACACTGCCATTGTAAAGACTTGCCAACATCCATGGCTCTGTAGGATGCAAATCCACGCTCTTGACTCGATCAGATCGAGCAGTTAGCTTTCTCTTGATGTCAAGTCGCAAAGGCTAAGGAAAAACAAATAAAACATAACATTGCTAAGCCAGATTAATAAGTTGGAGATATTGACTAAAAACAGTGCATTAAGAGTTCTACAAAAACAATTCAGTTTTTACTCTGCTAAGTTGTGTACACAGTTTCTAATTTAAATCCCATATATTCTAAAAATTTTGAAGATTCTCAAAGAGCTTTTGCTTATGGGGGTTATATCTATTGATACTACCATACTAAAAATTAAAACATAAGTTTAAAATATTTATGTATTCATTCATTTTGAAGTAACAAAAATAAACCCATTATAGGTTAAGCTAAACATTTTTATTAAAAATAACTCTTTTCAAAAGAAATTTAATGAAAAATAGCTTTTTTTTTTTTTTTTTAATAGAAGACAGGTGATTTCTCTGTTTCTGCCTTCAATCTGTTGTAATGTATTATTTGGATTCACAAATACAATGAAAATGCAGCTTCATATGGAATTTGTTGGAAGAGACAGTACTTTAATCATCTTTTTTATATAACTGAATATTCTTCAATGTCACACCAAAAGTCAAAAAGCAGTAGTTTCTTAGATGTATTTATTGCATATCATGCAATATGAAACCATCAATGAACTTTTCATACTTTGCTGCATTAAAATCCACTGGCCTACCCTGTACTTTGATCTTTAACTTGTACATGATTCTGTAATATGATACATTGGTAATCTGAAAATGCTGGTTCAATGAGTTATACAGATCTTTCAAATATTGATACATTTCACTATACAGTATCAAAAAAAATCACATCCATTAACATCACTAGAGATCTCAACTTGTAAGTGTTTTAAATTTTAGAAATCTGTCAGGCTCACGGGCATAGAAGTTTCACTTGAAAGCACCAATTTTACCATAGGCAACAAATCTGTCAGTGGCCAGCTAAAATTCTTTCATTTTTGAGAAAATATTTCCCAAATATCTAAGTTTAAATAACTATACTTTATCTGTTAGTGGTTTTTTTCAAATAAAGCTTGCAACTTAAGTAACTGTACAAGTGCCTTCCCTTGAGACAACCATCATAGTTGGGTATGCAGCAGATGTACTTTATGGATACTTCCCGTTTAAGCACACAGAATATTAAACAACTATGTGCTCAAGAGTCGAAATGTAATAAATTTAATAATTTTTACTTCATTGAGGAAATTAAGTGAAACAGAATTTTTTTTTTAACTTTTTAACTAACTGTGTGAGAGTGAAAAATAAACTTTCAGTACAAATTGGTGTCCCAGCCTTAACTTGCAGCTAAGGTGCCAATAGTTTCATCATCCATTACTTGTATACTATCGTGCAATTATCAACACAGTGCAAAAGGCCAATGTTGTTGTTGTTAAGATACTGTGGACTTGGTTTTGACTCATAGCAACCCTGTGTACAACAGAACAAAACAATGCTCGGTCCTCATTGCACCAGCCTATTCTCACAACTGTTGTTATGCTTTGAGCCCATCGTTGCAGCCACTGTGTCAATCCATCTCATTGAGGGTCTTCCCCTTTCTCACTGACCCTTTACTTTACCAACCATTATTCCTTCTCTAAGAACTGGTCCCTTCTGATAGCATAACCAACGTATGACAGACAAAGTCTGGCCATTTTCAGTTCTATAGCATACTACTATTAAGAAAATAGTTTTAAATTTGTGCATCACCTGAAAGGATCTTGGTAGCCACACTCTAGGAAACCTCTGGTTTATAGAATAGCTAACAAAATAAATATAAAATAGTCACTACATCACAATTTTGTACCTGTCATTCATGTCATATCAGAAAAAGTCTAAGTGTTATGAAGTACTAGCATAGGCAGTTCCCAGGTTATAAATGTCCAACTTATATACAACCACAGTCACAAGCCAACCCTTATAAAGTCTATTTTATCAACCAGATTCCTCATCTGAACCAGAGAATACAGAATATTACTTTAGTAACTATTTTCTCAATTCTCCCAAGGGTGCTATTCTAGGAGAAAAGTTAATTCATTAAATACAATGATGCTTTAGGGCAGTAGAGCTTAATTCTCTCTTGAAAGCATGTTGAGGAAAGCTGACTTAAAACATATCTCCCTTTCAAGAGGACTTAAACCCAATCTCAATGTTTAGTTGGCAAGCTGATTTTCTATCTAATCTTTAGTTTTGTGAGCTTCCATGATGATCATAAAAAGGACAGAAATTTCAGGTTACTTTTCAGCATAAAATAGAGCTAGCAGAGAAAATTTCCTGAGACAAACCACACACCTCACAAGGCCTTTGTTTATCTCTTTTTGGGCCTCTATTATATGTGGGTTTACTTCAAAACTGGTTCTCACTTCTGTGCATGGTTTTCTCACATTCAACAACTGCCTTTAGCTCTTACTTTACTTCAGAAGATCAGAGTTCTCTGTCTCTTCTTCTCAATCACCTGAAAAGCATTTCCACTACTATACCTTCCTCTCCCTCTCAAAAGTTCTACCTTCAAACCACCCTCTTTCTCTGCAATTTCAAGGAAACAAGACCTTTTATTTCATCCATTTTTGAATTTTGCCCCATTAGTTACAATCCAGAAAACTCCTTTTTTCTGGTTCCCTTCAGTCAACAAAGTGTCTACTGATGGAACTACTGTGCAGTTTTCACATAAGCCAGCACATATCACACTCTTTCTCCAGTAAGTAAGGAAACTGGACACTTACAAGCTGTGTATGTTTTATCATAAAAATGTTTTAAATGACTTATTGAGTAAAAAGACACTCCAGGAAGGTGAGCCAGGGGTATGGTAAACCTTAGATAACTCTCACTGAACAAATTCCAGTTTAAAGAGCACAGGTGTGGGTTCTTGCTATCATATTTCTCCCAACATTTAGTGACTACTTTGAACAAGACATCGCACCGGGCACTCTACAGAATATAAACATGAGTACTATGCTAGATCTGTCCACAAGGAGGTACCAATTAGGCAAATGATACAAAAAATAGTGTGTAAGTACCACAAAAGTTAAGTGAAACAAAAGTGACAAGGGTGTTCTAAATGGGTATAGATCACTTCTGGCTATGAGAAATTAGGGATGTCTTCATGGAGGAGGCATGTGAATTGGGCCTTGAAAGATAGGCATAAAGTAAATGTTGAAAATTTTCTATAGGCAAAACAAACATATTTGTTGTTGCAGGAAATAAAAGGTGAGTAAATTGATTGTAAGGAGCTTACAATCTAGTAAGAATGATAAGGCAAGTATATAAATTAACTTCAACACAATGCAGAATGCAGTAAGAACCAAAACAGGTAAAAACAAAAAAAAAAGCCAAATAGTTAAAAGGAGAGCAAAAGGAAATTTAGTTGGTAATATTAGTAAGTCAGTCAGGCTGAAGGTAGTATTTGAGTAGGATTTTAGTAAAGTAAGGAGCTCTGATGACATAGTAGGTAAGGCATTTGGCTGTTAACCAGAAGGCTGGTGGATGGGGCAATCTACTTCCATAAAGATTTACAGCCTTGGACATGCTCAATGAAGGCAAACACGGGTATATGGGTAGATAGATGGGTGGACAGGCTGAAATATTAGGTATCTATATGAAGTGGAGAGTGCACCCAAGAACATGTACAGGGTTGGCAGAAAGTGGTCCAATAACTTTATGTGTATGATCTGAATTCCCAGGTGTATAATGGGGCTGACAAGGGGCAAGGTTGTAGTCACTGCTTGGCCACTGACAGCTACCCAGACGGACCGAGCAGTTGAACCTGTGGGCACGGGACCATAGTCCCAGAGGACATCAAGCTCAATTGGCATAACATACTACACAAATCATTGTTCCACCTTCTACTATGGCTAGTAGCGACTGAGATCTTAAAAGCTTGCAAGCTGCCATCTAGATGCAACAATGGGTCTCTCCTCGTCCAGGACCAAGAAGAATGAAGAAAACCAAAAATTCATGGAAACAATCAGTCCTAGCGATTGGTGCACCATCCAATCTGCAGCCTATACGACTATGAGACCAGAAGAAATAGACGGTGCTCGGCTACTATTGTCAACCACTTGGAAGAGGATCTTTGTAGAAGATCCTGGATAGACACGGGGCACAATGTGAAACAATAGTCAAAATCACTTGGAAAAAAAAAAGCGGGGAACAAGTTTACTGGCCCAATGGAGCCTGGTGGAACCACTGAGACTATGGCCCCTAGCTGTCCTTCAGGTCTGGAATTGAACACACACCTGTAGCTTCCAGCCAAGCAGTAGACAGGCATACTAGCTGAGCATTTACCTGAGGTAGACACACTCCTTGGAGAGAACAAGCAAGAGAGAAAGAAGGGCTGCTCAGGCACAGGGAGACAGCTCAGGGGTTAGAAGTACATAGAGGGATGGTCACAGGGAAGCGGTACCTATCAGGAAGAAGTGGGAGAGGAGATGTTGCACTGTGCTAAATTGTGGTCAATGTCATAAGACAAAGTGTATGTGATCTGCTGTATGGAAAGTATATTTGCTCTCTAAATTTTCACCCAAATCACAACAACAACAAAAAAAAGATTTACAGCCTTGGAAACCCAATGGGGGTCACTATGAGTCGGAATCGACTTGATGGCAGTGAGGTGTTTTTTTTTTTGGTTTAATAAAGTGTGTGTGTGTTGGGGGGGGGCGTCATCATTAACAGCCTAATTATCCATCTGTTTCTCTGCCCAGCATCTAAGCTCTATGAGGGGAAAAATCAGTTTTGTTTTGGGTGAAGGTGGAGGTGTCTTCTAGTCAGACGTGAGTGCTTACTATAAGCCAGGCACTGTTCTAACGGCTTAACATTGAATGTGATTCTCAAAACACTAACAGCATTGCATTTAGGGTGTCTTCCAGTGAGAGATATTTTCAGTTTTCCACTCTGTGGTGAAAAAGGGTAGGCACGAATAGTCCATTTTGACTGGGGCTTAGAGATACAAGTTACATTTGATAGCTCATACTTCCTTGCACTCAACAATCAGTTTTCAGGTCTTTTTTTGTAATTATTACTATCTTTCTATTTTTTATTTTTCTGCCACTACACCAATAAGACTCTTATCAATGTCTCTATGGTAATGACCAACTATTTGTGATAACTCCTAAATATTCCCCCACCTCTGCCCCAATTCCTATCTCTCACCAATCTAACCAGCCCTTCTCCTAAACCAGAGGGATCTGCCAAAACCACTTTAATTCCCCTTTGATCAAAAATTCCCAAAAGTGTTCTTGCTGTTAATCAAATAACAATCAGCCCCTTTTTCCTAATGTGCAAGACTCTGGAAAATCTATTTCCTAATTATCTTTCTGGACTTATCTCCCATCATATCCCTGAATGAACTTTATACTCTAATCAAATTAAACTACTCCGTACTCCTTTTCCTTGAATACGCCGTTCCTTTCCTCTATACTCTATTCATAGTATTATTTCTACAAAAAAAGAAACAGAAAAAAATAAAAAAAAAAAACACCAAAAAACTGTCAAAGTACCAGAAGTGCAAAGATACACATCTCTACAGGGTATGGAGGGAAACAGCCTGCTGGACCTAGGGAGAGTAGTGGGCAGATAGATGCATTAGAAAAGGCTTCTGGTCTTGCTTATACTGTATTCTCAACTCTAAATGTCTCCCTCCAAGCTGCATGCATTTAGGACTCAGCTTAGTAAGACCTCTCTGATGACCTGAGCCAGAAGTACCCTTCCCTCTCCTGTAAGATTTCAATCATTCATGGTACATTTGTGTATATCTCTTCTTGCTTACTAGAGTAGGTACTCCTTGAGGATAGGGTCATTACTTATACATGCATTTATCTCCACAGCATCTTATACATTCAATATGGGGGTATTAAGGACAAGTAGTATAACTCAGGTCTAGAAAGTCATGCTGCCTGGATTCAAATTTCAGTCCCACAACTCATTTTAATGTGCAATAGTAGGCAAATTTCCTTAACTTCTCTCAGGTTTGACCTATATAATATAAGGACAGTACTATTATCTACTGCTTATTGTTATGAGAATAAAATTAAATGTTAAGCCCTTAGAACATTGTCTGGCCTATGGTAAGCACTCAACAGGCATTATTGATAGCTCTATCTCACACCTGTTAAGAGAATTAGAGAGTGAAGGCCAGGTTTTAGCAAACTACATGGCACATAGTAAATGCTCTCTGGTAAATGAGAGAATGAATAAATATTGTGTGAAGTATACAAAAATTATAAATCTGCTAAAGAATAAATGAAATAACTCTTTACGGAAACACATTCTTAACTATAAAGGCTGCAAAAGAAATGAAATTAGGCAGATCCAAGGTCCTTTTTGCAAGCATGTTGTTATGTGCTATCGAGTCAGACCCGACTCATAGGGACCCCTCCTTGGGTTTCCGAGGCAGAATCACTACAGATGTAGATTGCGTGATCTTCCTTCCAAGGAGTGGCACGTGGGTTTGAATCTCCAGCTTTCTGGTTAGCAGTCAAATGCCTTAGGCTCTATGCCACCATAGCAGACCTTAAATCACAGCAGCTCGTAATTATATGATATTGCATAATTAAGAGATGTGGGGTCTCAGTCAGGGCTTCTTAACCTGGGGAACCAAGAAAGTCCACAGATGAAGCTGAGGATGGGAAGCGTGTCTGTGTGTAATTGTTATGTGCCCTCAAGTTGATTCCAGCTCATTGGGACCCTATATAAATAGAACAGAACTGCCCCACTGGGTTTCCTAGACTGTGTACCCAATGAAATTCTATGTAAAACTGAGTATGGTCTTTTATGCATCTTTCTGGGAGTATCAATAACTTTGATCAGTTTCTCTAAGGGATTAATGATCCATAAAAAATGACAAGAATCTCGTTTTAGTGCCAGTTCTGCCATAATTAGCTGTACAAACTTAAGTTTAAGAGTGTTGCTTGTTTAACTGCAAGATGAGGGACGTGGATTTTTTTAAGGGCAGAACGATGTAACTGTACCAACGCTTCGACACTTTCTGCCTCTTGAGTTCCCCAAACCACGGACCCCACTGAAGACAAGAGGTGCTGTGACAAGTGCCAGAAGAGTCAAAGATATCATACTCGCAGGCAACGCCTCAACAAGCCACCCTCGATTTCTGGGCCCCAGAGGCTTCTCCTTCCCAAGGCTCACTTCCAGACCTGGACCTGGAAAGGCCGGACGCGGCGGCCGCACCAAGAGCCCAGCCGTTGCTTACTGCCGGCCCCAGTCCAAGAGCCCCAAGAGTGAGCCACACTCGGCGAGGTCCTACTCCCACGAGTGGTGCCCAGACCTACCATGACTCCGTCTGTCCAGATCCGACAGCTCTCGTTTGCTACCAGCAACTCAGGCCAAGACAGACCCACCGACCCGCTGACTAGCCGACTGACTGACGTGGAACTTCCGGGAAGCGATTCTCGCGATAGGCAAAGACCACGGCCCAGGCGCCTGCGCAAACCTGGCGTTTGCCTGGAGTTTTTCCAAGCCCCTCCCCTGTTTCCTGGGCAACGAGGCGTTCCACTCTGTGGCGATTTGGCCTGGCATCACTTGGGAGGTGACCGCGGAGGGCAGTGTCACGGAGCTCCTTAACATGCACTAGAACTGGAAAACTAAGCGAGAAAAATAATGAGAAAAGCGAAATGCTTAATCCTTGCTGGACGCTAATGGCAGAAGAAGCTCCCCCTATGTTAGCGTTACAGAGGCTGAGAAACGCTGCCAGTCCTCCTCTGATGCCTCCATTGAGAAGAGGAAAGGGAGAGAAGACGAAGCAAACTCCAAGACCAGTGTACGCCTGGTGAGCTAGAGAACGAGACCTAGAGGGTTCTCTGCGAACCACGGGCCGTGCACTGGTACAGGCTGAGAAGATAAGAGACGAACTCCCGAGCTGAGCTTCAGGCCTCTGAGGGCAGAGTGAGGCGGAAGAGCCTTCAGGTCTGTTGTGCTCTAGAAGATGGGAACACTCAGTTGTGTAATGATCAACGTTTATTGGGCATCGACTGTAGTTTTCATTCATTCAACAAATATTTATCAGTCTTCAGCTGTCTGCCAGACATAATTCTGAAGTGATTACATCAAACCCTAATTATATCCATCTTGCTGATGAGGAAACAGATTCGAAGAATTGTCCTGGCCAAAGTCATATATAATTAAGAGTACAGTCAGGATTTGAACCCAGATAGGGATGTCCTTAAAGTCCTGTGCTCTTTCTACTACATCTAAGTATTTTTCATTAATATAGTTGAAACCTTTTGCCCCATGGGGTTGCAAAATAAAGTTTGAGAGCATTTGTCTACCACCTCTTACCACCTTGCCAATCCTTCCTCACCTTCTCCTCCTCTTCTTTTTTTAACACCACAGGCCAAGTAAAACTTTCTCTGACCTGAGAAAAGCCTTGAAACTTTTTCAGACCTCCAGAGTTTCAAGACTACTAGTTGAAAGATTGGCAATTTGGACCCACACACAGGTGCCTTGGAGGACAGGCCAGGCAATCTGCTTCTGAAAGATGCCTTGGAAACCCTGTGGAGCAGCTCTACTGTGCACACATGGGGTCACCATGAGTCAGAGTTGACCAGATGGCAACTAGTAACAGAGTTTTCAGAAAGTTAAGGGGGGGAAAAAATTACATGTGGGTGTGAGTGCATAGACAGTGATATCTAGAGGGAGACATACGGACTCTGTATCATGTAACCATGGTTTCTAGTAGGAGTTTTGTTATTCTTTCTGGATTTCAGTTTTCTTCGTTTAAAAAATAAATTAGGTTAGATAATTTCTTAAACAAAAAGAACCAAACTCACTGCCATGGAGTTGCTTCCAACACATAGTGACCCCCACTTGGTTTCTGAGGCAGTAAATATTTACGGAAGTAGTTTTCCTTCTGCAGAATGGCTGGTGGGTTTGAACCGCCAGCCTCTGGTTAACAGTCAAATGCCTCAGACATTACGCCTCCAGAGCACCTTAGTTACTTTCTTAAAGTCCTTTCATTTCTACTGTCTTGTAACATTCAATAGTAGAAAGAAGAGTGAGTCAAGAACAGGATTTTAATGCCAGCAGAGTGATCTTGTGATCTTGTTGTTGTTATGTGCGGTCGAGTTGGACCCGACTCATAACGACCCCTCCTTGGGTTTCCGAGGCAGTATCACTACAGAAGTGGATTGCCCAACCTTCCTTCTGAGGAGTGGCTGGTGGGTTTGAACTGCCAGCCTTCTGGTTAG